TTTGTTGAAATATGTCAATTGGTATGCCGTCAACTCCTGGAGCTTTGTTTTTTGCCAATTCCTTCAGAGCAATTTGAACTTCCTTCAAATGGAAGGCAAGCATTATTAACCTATGAGAAGGCAATCCTGGAATGGAAGTTGCACATTACAGTTGTACTTAAGAACTTTAAATTGAAGTCATATTGGCTGCATCATAAGAGATTAATAGCAGCATGATATGTTCAGAATCACAGAAATCCTGATGGCTTGAAACTTAGGCTATCACATCAGGGGCTGGTCAATGGGAAACGGGTATTGAATGGTGTAGGCAGAAGGAGGAAGGAATGATGGTGGAGTAAGGAAGCATCGATGGGCTGTAACATTGAATCTATTGGTCATTGTTATAACTGGGCAATTGTCTTTCATTGGTTCTTTTCTGTGGAATGCTTGTCTGTTAGATACTATCATATATATTTAAAGATTGAGACAGACTAGGAAGAAGAATTGGCCAGCCACTTCTGAAAAGACAGGCCTTTGGAAACCCTATGTACAGTAGAGCACACTTAGACTATCACTTGGACTAGCAGACATGGCAATTGAGACTGAGATCTTAGACACGGAAATACAGAGAAGAAGGAACAGCTGTAAGCAGGCACTAGTGACTGGAACATGGAACATGAGAAGCATGAATGTAGGAAAATTGGACATTGTTAAAAAGAAATGGAACACATAAATATTGACATTCTAGGTATAGGCCAAATGAGATGGCTTGGCATGGGACATTTTGAATCAGACGATTATATGATTTACTATGCTGGGGATGAAAAGGTGAGAAAGAATGGGGTTGGCTTCATAATTAAAAAAGTCATTTCTAGATCCATCGTGAAATACATTGTAGTGAGCGATAGGATAATATCCATAAGCATACAAGGAAGTCCAGTGAATACGAGTATCATTCAAATATATGCACCAACAACTAGAGCCAAAGAGGAGGAAATAGATGATTTCTACCAACTTTTGCAGTCAGAAGTTGATCAAACATGCAGTCAATATGCATTGATAATAATGGGCAACTGGAATGCAAAAGTTGGGAACAGAAAAAAAGGTTCAGTAGCTGGAAAATACGGGCTTGGTGAGAGAAATGAGGCTGGAGATAGAATGATAGAGTTCTGCACATTCAATGATTTATTCATTGCAAATGCCTTTTATAAGAAACATAAACGCAGGCTATACACATGGATCTCGCCTGATGGCATGCATAGGAATCAAATAGATTACATTTGTGGAAAGACTCGGTGGAGAAGCTCAATATCAGCAGTGAAAACCAGGCCTGGTGCTGATTGTGGGACAGACCACCAACTACTCATATGCAAGTTCAAGCTGAAGTTGAGGAAAATTAACTCAAGTCCACGGGAACCAAAATTTGATCTTAAGTCTATCCCACTCAAATTAACTAGATATCTGTCTTATAATTTTTTAGTGTGATCTGCACTTCTCTCCTGCCTGGAGCACTAGACCACAGCCCCACTGCCTAGAGGCCCCTAGTCCCTCTGCCTGGTTGCCCTGGTCCCACAGACTGGACCTCTGGTCCTGCTGCCTAGAGGACCTGGTGCTGCAGCCTTACTGCCTAGATGCTCCTGACCACCACCTGGAAGCCTGACTCAACTGTCTGAAAGACTTGGCCCTGCCACCTGGATGCCACACTGCTTAGAGGACAAGCCACTGCTACCCCTCTGATCTACACTAGGGATACCAATCACAGATGAAGCTATTCCCCCCACCCTCACACTCTAGACTTCAGCTGCCTTTAGCCCTGGGCACCTTAGACCCACCAACTACAGAAATGGCTCACAGTGAAAGCTACTAATTCATAGGCCATATCTCTCCCCAACTGAAGCAAGTCCTCCCTTGAGTCAAAAATACATAGAGCAATTCAGGCAAGGTAGCTCCCTGGGTCTCTTCTGGAGCAGTGACTTCCTGAGCCAAAGTTTTCAGACCACAAGCCTGCTAAGATCTCAGGCATGAAAAACACTACCACAGCAATGTCACAGAAGACACAGACTACCTCACAAGCCCAAAACAAGATGTCATCTACAAAGAGGACACACTATCAATGGATTTCCTGAAGCCAGAAAGTCTGATGGAACTTTGTGAATCAGAATTCAAAAGAGTAATGACTGAATATTTTCAATGAGTGAAAGTCAAACTTGAAAAATTACAGGACTCTGCAAGCAAAAACAGAGGAACTAAAAAAAAAAACCCCAAACAAACAGCCTCCCTGGCCACACCCTCTGCCTGGACGCAGCCTTGACTGCTGCCATCTCCCCGCCACATGGCCTGCCGGCTCAAGACCCCCAGCTCTGATATGTCACCTTCTGGTCACCTGTTTCTCCTCAGCATCATAAGCCTGGTTCTCCCCACCAGAGGACTGATGTTGGAAACCACTTCCATTCCTGGAACAGAACTGAACTCTGTGGAGCGTCATGTTCAGACTCAAGTACCAGACACAGTCCGCCCAGAAGACCAATCCACTCCTCAGACTTCAACTGCAAAGACTCGCAAAACAACAGAGAACAAGATCACAATCCAAAGCCAGAGCCCAGCCCAGCCCCAGCAACCAATGGGGAAGGACATGTCTCTCATGAGAGATGTAGAGATCGACAGAAGGGGCATGAAAGATCCCACTGAAGACACCACACTCTCTGAGAGACAATCTTTGGACAAAGACATCAGGACAGATGCCCATGCACCCCAGAAAGCTGGGACAGATGAAGCAGTGAATAATCTCTTTTTCTATGATGAGGACACACTATGGAAGCAGGGTCTGTTGGTTGCAGCAGTGCTGTTCATCACAGGCATTGTCATCCTCACCAGTGGTAAGTGTAGACAGCTGCCCCAGTTATGCCGGAATTCTTACAGGTGAGTTTGTCGTGAACATAAATGGGCACCTGGACACTGAACACACCCCTGTCAACTCACCATGCCCAGTCTCCTTCTGTGCTTCCTGGAGCCTACAGAGTGGACAACATATGAAGCTGGGCCCAAGAGGAAAGATACAGATGGAGCCAGAGTGGGGACTAATGTCCCCAAGTCCCTGTCACCCAGTCCTGCTGTCTCAGGCACTGCCTCCAAGTTATCCATTCTGTTTAAACCAAAATTAAAGCCAGTGTGGTTCTTGAAAAAACAAACAAACAAACAAACAACAAGACAATGCAGGTAAATTAAATTAGGCATGAGAGACTCTGGAAATACAAGAAACTACAATTCAGAATATGAGGGCCAATGTTTCAGATGCTGTAAACATGTTGAAAGGACACATAATGAAACACAGATCCAGTAAAACAGAAGACAGAATTGTCACCACTGATCTGCTAAAAGAAAAAGCAGAATCAGATAGGAAGGAAAAATAAGAACATCTAAGAATAATGTGGGACACTATCAAGAGGAATAACATGCATAACCGGAATTCAAGAACAGGAAGAAGCAAGTAAAGGCATCAAGACAGTTGTGGAAGAATTTCTAGAAGAAAACTTTCCAGGCACAATGAAGAATGAGAAAATATATATTCCAGAAGCTGAGCAAACACCATATAGAATAGAACCCAGAAGAAAACAATAAGGCATATTATAGTCAAATTCAGAATCAAAGATAAGGAGAAAATTCTGAAAACAGCTAAGGAGAAACTAAGAGTAACCTGTAAAGGAGAGCACATAAGATTAACTGCCAATTTCTCAGCAGAGATCATGCAAGCAAGAATACAGTAGAATGACATATATTGAATACTTAAAGATTACATTACAACTGTGAACCAAGAATACTGTACCCAGCAAAATTGTCCATCAAATATGAAGGAGAGATCTTAGAATAGCAGAACTTAAGGGAGTTTGTAAAAACAAGACCAGTATTACAGGAAACATTGAGAGAAGTCCTTCTCAGAGAGGTTCCACAGAAAGCAGGATGGAATAAAGTAACTTTGTAAATAAATCAGTATAAAATTAAAAAAAAAAAGTAAAGGGCTCTGTATTTCTCCCCCCTCCAAAAAAAAATGGAACTCAACAATATGATAGCAATAAACCCTTATTCTTTAAGTAATAAAGCAATCATTTGTCTATTTGCTCTGCTGGATAACATGGAGTTGCTGTGATGCTGAATACTGTACCATAGTCTTGTCAAATACCATTATGCTTACCCATCATGTACAATGTTTGTAGGAACTTCCAGATTGATTGGGAAGGAGGAATGGCCTTTACTTCCAAACTAAATGCCTCTGGAAACTCTTTACACTCTATAAATGTACAGAAATTATGTTAGTTATAGAAAAGAGTTCAGGTGTTTTGTGCAGGGCTCGCTATGAGTCTTATTTGACTTGATGACACTTAACCACTGCTAAATGAAACTAGTGTTGTAATATCTGGAGGAACATTCTTCCTCTTTGTAGTACATCACTCTTTGTCAATGTTCTGTATGACATAACCTGAGTATGCTGTGATGCTGAACTTTGTGCCATTAGAGTATCAAAAATGATGATGGTTTCCCAATGTGGACAGTGTTTTGGTGGAGCTCCCAGTTGTAAAACAGGTTTGGCAGCAGGAATGGCATCTATTTCCTAAACCACATGTCTCTGGAAAATCTATAAACTGGTGATATTTATGGAAAGATATTAGGTCTATTATTAATAGAGTCACTATGAGTTGTGCTTGACTTGATGGCAATCAACAACAACACAACTCAATAATTACACTGAGCGTAAGTGGTTTAAACGCATTACTAAAGAGAAAAAGAGTAGCAGATTGGATAAAACAAAACAAAACAACGAAATCCATCAATATGCTATCTACAAGAGACACACCTGAAAAATGAAGATAAAGAAAGATTAAAAATGGTGGTGGTGGGAAATATACCAAGCAAATGGGAACCAGCTAAAAGTAGGAGTAGTGATATTAATCTCTGATAAAATATATTTCAGTGCAAAAATCATTACAAATGAGAAGGAAGGTCACTATATAATGCTTAAAGTGTCAAAAGAACAAGATGACATATGCGTAATATCTATGCACCAAATAATAGAGCTGCAAAATATAGACAGCAAACAATAACAGAACTGAAAAAAAGAAATATAAAACACCACTATAGTAGTAGGATTTAATACAGCACTCTCAAGACAAGACAGAATTATCAGAAAGAAACTTAACAGAAATGCTGAATAATTAAACCACACAACAAACCAACTCGTTATCTATCTATCTATCTATCTATCTATCTATCTATCTATCATCTATCTACCTATCTATCAATAATCAAGTTAACGACACATAACTACAACAACATACTATATTGGTTGTTTATTTAAGCCTCTTGTTTAAAGTCTACAAGACTTCGGGGAGGGGATTTGTATTTAAAAGCTGGTTGTTATTATATTTTGGAGGAATATTCTTCTAAGTGGTACAGCACTCTTCTATCAATATTCTGTACTGAGGTAACCAGGGGTTGCTGTGATGCTGAAACTTGTACTATTGGGGTGTCAAAAGCCATAATGGTTACCCAAGTGTTTGGTGGAGCTTCCATTTTAAGACAAGTTTGGAAACAAGGAGCAGCATCCATTTCCAGAAACTCTATGAATTTTGATAAATGACAATAGTTATAGAAAGACTTCAGGCCTTTTGTTCATAGGGTAGCTCTGAGTTGTGCTCAACTTGATGGCAATCAACAACAACTATACCACCTTCTCGAATAGGCATGAACATTCTTCAGAGTAGATCACATCTTAAGTCACAAGGCAAACATCAATAAATTAAAAAACATAGAAATAATACAAATCATCTTCTCAGACCACAATGTTACAAAATTAGACATTCATAATGAGAGGTTAAAGGAGAGAAAAAAAATCATACATTTGGAAGCTAAACATCTTGCTTCAACATGAGTGGGTACTAGAAGAACTACAAAATGAAATTAAGAAGTTTCTTGAAATGACAATGAAAACACAACTTACCGAAACCACTGGGAAACAGCCAAAGCTTTATTAGAGGCCAATGTATAATACTACGCAAACATATCAAAAGGTAAGAAAAAATTATAACTGACTAACCCAAAATCTACAACAAATTAAAAAGGACAGCAAAAAAATCTGATCCTCTCATAAAAATACTGAAATGATAAAATTTAGGACAGAAATTAAAAACAAAAGAATACAGAAAAAAACACACCTTAAATCATCAACAAGACCAGGAGTAGGTTCTTTAAAAAGGTCAATAAAATTGGCAAACCACTATTAAAATTAGCAAAGGAAAAGAAAGAAAAGACACAAAAAATCCAAATAAGAGATGAAAGGGGCAATGTCCCAACAGTACCAATTAAAATAAAAAAGGTTAACAATAGAATACAATGAAACACTATACTCAAACAAATAAGAAAACCTAGAAGAAATGGACAAATACTTAGAAACCCACAACCTGCCTAAAGTGACACAGACTGAAATTGAACAACTGAGCAGACCCATTATAAAAGAAGAAATTGAACAGGTAATAAAACATCTTCTAAAAACAGCAACAACAACAACAAAAAGCCCTGGACCTGATTGTTTTACAATTAAATTATATCAAACATTCAGAGAAGAATTGTCACCAATTCTATATTAAGTATTTCAGAAGATAGAAAAAGATAAAATTCTTCCAGATTCATTCTATGAAGCAAACATCCTTGATACCAAAGTCAGGTAAAGACACCACCAAAAGAGAAAACTATAGGCCAATAAATCTCATGAACATAGATACAAAAATCTTGAATAAAATTCTAGGCAATAGAATCCAATAGTACATACAAAAAATCATCATGACAAAGTGGGATTCATAGCAGGTATGCAAGGATGGTTCAACATAAGAAAAACAATGTACTTCATCATATCAACAAAGCAAAGAACAAAAACCACATGATCCTATCAATTGATGCCAAAAAGGCCTTTGACAAAATCAAACACCCTTTCCTGAGTAAAACTCTCAATAAAATAGGAATAGAGGATAATTTCCTCAACATAGTAAAAAGTATATATGCAAACTCATGAGCCAACATCAATATCAAAGAAGAGGAATTAAAAGTATTCCATTTGAGAATAGGAAGTAGGCTAGTATGCCCACTATCACCCCTCCAATTCAGTATTTTATTGTAAGTCTTAGCAAGAGCAATCATGCAAGAAAATAAGAGGTATTCAAACTGGCAAAGAGGAGGTAAAGTTATCTCTACATGTAGATGATATGATTGTATACTTGGAAAACCCTAAAGCCTCAGTGAGAAAACTACTGGACATAGTGGACCAATTCAGCAAAGTGGCAAGATACAAGATCAATATACAAAAATCAATTCTATTTCCCTTCAGTGACAAAGAGAATACAGAATTGGAGCTAAGAAAAACAATACCCATCAAAATAGCTGACCACAAGATTAAATACTTTGGAGTAAATCTACCTAGAAACACAAAAGACCTATTAATAGAAAATTACAAAACACTATGACAATAAACAAAAAGAGACTTGGAGAAATGGAAAAATATGCCATGCTCATGGATAGGAAGATGCAATATTGTGAAAATGACAATTCTAACAGAGGCAATCTAAAAGTTTAATGCAATCTCAATACAAACACCAATTCCATTCTTCAACAAGATGGAAAAGGGAACTTCTAATATCATCTGGAACAGAAAGAGACCCCAAATAAGCAAAGCACTCCTGAAAAAGAGAAACAAGGTAGGAGACATCTCACTGTCTGATCTCAAATTCTACTACAAAGCTGTGGTGATCAAGACAATGTGGTATTGTACAATGACAGACACAAAGATCAATGGAATAGAATTGAGAACCTAGAAGCAAGTTCATCTACCTACGGTCAACTTATTTTTGACAAGAAGATGAAATCACATAAGTGGAGAAA